TATATATATATATATATTTATCTCACTGCATTTTTGACCTGCAGATCACCAGGCATTTTCTGGGAAAAAGTCTAAAAATAAGTTTGTAACTATGCATCTAATCATTCCTTGAGTAACAAAACCCAGCAGCTCCTTTTTTTCCAGAAGTTAAAGGTAATAATTCACTTTTACTGTGCAATTAGAAGTCAAAAGCTTTATTCCTCCTCTAGAGGAAGCACCTTCTGGAAAGGAGCAAGGCAACTTAGAAATGCATTTCTCCAAGCCATCACTAGGTAGCAGGCTGAAAGAGCATGTTACTCTTGTAGCAGGGAAACAAGCTATTATAGTTATCATTAACAATCTGCAAATGAGTCTCTGAGGTGTAGTTAATGGGGCTTAAACAGGTTTAAGCTGAAGAGCAGCCAAGCAAGAAGAGACTATACTGTCCAAAGATATGGATCACAGGCAAATCCTGTGTTTTGTTTACATCCCGGTATAAAACACTCAACTATATCAATGCCTGAAAATACAATTAGGATTTGTCACCACTTTAAGGGAAAACAATTAATCAAGGAGGATTACAGTTAAGCAGATTTCTGTGCACTAACTGTGTAGGTTCAGTGTGTCCCATAGCACACCTGGCATGGTAGCTAGGTTGAACAGGGACATTCTGCACAGAGCAGATATTCCTGTTGGACTTCTGGCTCCCCAGAGAGCTGTCCCCCCAAAAAACATCCCACACTTTATATCATCAGATTATTTTAAAACTTGATCTAGTGTGTTCAGTACATGGAATACAACAACGCTTATTAAGAAAGTGTAGCTATATTTTGGCAATTCATAAGCTAGAGGATAAATATTTTGGAAAGCTAATGATAAGAGACTTCTGAATATTCTTCACTCTAACTATCCTATTACTAAAAACCCTTAAGCATAGCTTTGTATCATGTACTATGTAACAAAGTGTTTTACAGAGTTTAAATGATGAACCACTGAATCCTGGAAGTTCTAGAAAACATAATATTTAAATCAATATAAGTGTATCTTCCAAGTGTGTATTATACTGAGATAAGTCTGTAGTTTCCCCCCTCCCAATCCCCAAGCCACACCAAGTCACTACACAAAACTGCTATAAAGGAAAAAGAGATTCTTTCATGCTCTAATATTAGGACAGTTTAAATATAATCTGTAATATTACATAAAGTTTCCAACCTGAGCCCAGCTTCCCTCCTCATCCTCCTGTTACGTGGTTAGAAAAGCAAAAGAACACATACATATTAGTATTTAAGTTTAGTAAGGAGATCCAAGTTAAAGGTGCACTGCAAAACTAAGTCTACTGCATTCCAAAATATCTAGATAAAGCAAGCATCATGCATTGTAAAAGAATATAAAGGCACTCATTTTCATATGAGAGGTTGCAAAACCCATCTACTGAGTAAGTTTTCTGGAGAGAAGAGATTTCTGCACAAATGATTCAGTTTGTCTATAAATCAAATCAGAGCTCCATTTTACAGATTAGAAACTGGTTTAAGTCTTATCAATGCTGATTTTTTTCCCCCTTTTCTGGAAAAAACTATCGAGATGCAGGTTACAAGGTTAGTCATTAGAAGAAGCAATGATCCAAAATTTTAATGCATTCATTAAAGAAAGAAAGAAAAAAGAAGACCAAAAGGCACTTGAATCAAGTGTTCAAAAAGTGGGAAAAGCACTCTAAGGAAAAGAAGTGGCAACACCATAAACTAACCGTTTGTTGGGTGGCTGTAAGATTTTCCATTTCTTCATGTGTTACCCAGACATTTCCCGTGGTCTAATATGACCCCACAGGGAATCAATCCCATCCAGTGAAAGGAAAGCAGTAACAAAGAGGAGAGGTTGCAGAACATATAAGCAATTGGTACACATAAGGAGCAGGCATGGGCAAAAGCAATGGTTTCTAAAGTCTTAAGTAAAGGTGTATCTATTGAAAGCAATGGCATGGAATAAAAGCCTATTAACATGGATCACTTTTCTTCAAAGAAACAATATTGAAGGTGATAAACAGCTTACACTGATGTAATTAATGGGCAAACACTTGACTGTGCTCTAGTCTGAAAAACACATTTGTAGTCCAGTATGTTCTCCCAGGAACCACAGAAATAACTTTAGACTGAGGAACAACTCATGACAGGAAATTCACATTAAGTGTCTAAACTTACTATAGTATAGTGAGATAGGTGGACTCCTAGTTTATGTGGCCTGAATTGTTATTTGGAGTTAATGGCCTTATTATTCATTTATTATTCAGAGCCTCCAACTAGTTTACAAATTCCTGTATGCACACGTATACTTCATCTGTACTATAAATTCTTCTGAGGCCAAAAGATGAGGCAAATAACATGCACTCAGTGTTTTGGATTACATACTTACACTGATATAAACTTCTCCTTCCCTTGGAAAGAAAATGCAGTTATTCCTTCAATATCCATGAAAAAAACCCCATCCTATATTTAAATAATGTGTTCCTCTACAATTTCATGTTTCCAGAAATTCTTACTGGAAGTTCAAATCCTTTCAGTTACAGGTTTTCAGCAGAACTCTTGGAAACTCCACGGTTTTAAGACATGTGTAAGGCTGGATCACATTCCTTACCGTCCTTGAGGTGGGAGGAGCAGACGGACTTGTTAGTGACATGATTTCTTGAATGGCCAGCCTCAGCTTCAGTCTGTGCAGAGGGTTACTAATCCCAATTTCACGCTGTATTTCTGTATCAGACAAGGCTGACATGATAGCACCGCTTTTCACATTTGCTCGGCAAGCAGCCACGTACCAGGCTGGCATCCCAACCCACAGCTGGAACATAAATAAAGGAAGTAAGCAGGATCTGGAAAACACTCCTGGCTCCAAAACTTCAAATTCTTTACAAGTGTGTACATTGAGGTTTTTAATTTGTATTTATTTCTTTTGGAGGGACCACTTACCTCCAACCACACCACCACAGTAGGCCCATCCCACTGCGCAAAAGGCAAACCTTGTCTTCTGGCTTCCTCCAGCAACTCATGCCTACAATTACAGAAACAGTTATTAATAACCAAGCGAAACTAGTAAATAGATGTTTCAATTTCAACACTGCATCCAATTTACCATCTTCTTTCCAACAGTTTGCTTTCTTCCTTTCTTATATGACATACCCACTAAAGCAGTCACAGCACATGTACAAGGACTATGTAGCGATATAAACTGAACTGGATAGGAAATTTCATAATCTTGCCATTCAGAAACTGGTATTAGAAACTGCTACTGACACTCTATCCAACCAACACAAAGGGGAGACCTCAGACTGTTTTGTCAATCAGATTCTCAATTGCTGCAATTTTCTGTTCAAACTGAACCAAAGTACTTTGTTTTCAACATGCAGATTTGAAACCTGTGGAAAGGTATGAGTACAACAGATACTCATGCCACCAAAAAGGTAACGTCCATCAGGCTTATTGAGGCTGGAAACTGGGAGAGTAACCATCTACTTGGCAAATTTCAGCCTGCAACAGTGATCCTGTCAGAATTTCAGGCACAGCTTCAAACAACCATCACATTCAGAGCCCCACGCTTTGGCAATTGTATTCTGAAAGGCTGTGTACTGAAACTCAGCTTTCATCTCCCATGATGACACCATTTCCTTTGTTATTCTGACACAGAAGAGGCTGAAGTTCAATATTGACCATTCAGCTTAGAGAAACAAAGGAAGCTCACAAGAGCCCTATAAATAGCTGCCAAAATTGTTTGATAAACCAAGAGACAAAAAACTACTGTTGTGGGTATAAACACACAATGTTGCCTGGGTGCATCTGTCCAAAAAAATGGATAAAGTCTGGGAAAAAGCATATTTAAGGTGCCTTTGAAAGCTAGTTGTGTGTGCTTGAGTCTCCATTCAGTCTCCTCAGAAGTTCAGAAAATACAAATTCAACTAATTGGACAGATTTTACTATCTAAGACTTTTTATTCATGCCTGCAAGTGGGGGATGAGCAGCAATACTACAGATTCAAGATCCTACCGGATATATTTATCATTTTCTCCTCATTTAAAACAAACACCTCCCTGCCCTCAGAGCTGTATGGTTGAATATATCTAAGATGATAAAATACTTCAACGTTAGAGATATTAAAAGCTACCACCCAAGATATCTTTAAAAGGGGTTAGTGACAGACTAGTAGCTTCCTTTGCTACTAGTGGAAAACAGATGTGCAGTAGTACTCAGCTCTTTTAGACATGCCATCATAATTACAATCCTTAGGTTATGTTGTTAGATAACTAAATATACAAAATAATAAATGAAGTAATAAATCTACTAGCAACTGTTTTAATCAATAGAGAGGACTTCTCCAGCAGCATGTCAATAAATTCCTATTGCTCTAGGAAAGCCTCACAATACTTTATCCTAACTAAATGTGCTGCCCAGGGATGCAAAAAGGGAAGGGAGGAAGGAAGGAACTGCCAGACAACTGGTTACAAATAACCATTCTAATGTACCCATTTTAAGAGACAACAATGAAGATGGAAATAGTGTTCAGCAGTGAGCAGTCCAATAGCTAAATGTCACTAACAAAGAGAACACTGTAAAAGCTAACACATATTTGTATACTTAAAGATACATATATTTCTAAATTAGGAATAAAGGATCAGCTAGTTTCCTGCTACTGCAGAACACATTAATCCCACCAATCACTAGCCCTGAACACAATCAGTTTTGCTTTACTTTGTTGTTTAAAGATTTAAGAACATGAGAAAAATTAATAAGATCTTATAAAATACTGCTTGATAAGAAGAGAATAAAATGCTTAATACTGTATTTGCCAGAAAGGAATACCATGTTTTTTCTAAGTAGTTTCACTTCAAAATTGGAATCTTTTCTTTTTGGTGGTTGTAGTAACACAACTGTGCAGTGGAGGGAGGACCACTACTGATGAAAGAGCACAGACATGCCCAAAGCAGCCTCAGGTCTGACTAGGATGATCCCACAAGAGCAGGTCATCGCTGCCTCTCCCCCAGCTTATAAAGCTGCTTGGGGTATTTTATGGAATGCAGAGACTTGCAGTGTCATTTCTGGTAGTTTTATAATCTTGCTGCCTACTTCGGGCTAACCATGAGACAGTAAATCTGGAGATGAGTAGTACAGGGGATGTATCTAAAGCATAAGCAAAGATTATGCTGCAGAATTGAAACTCGTGGTGGTGTGGTATGCAGAAAACAACTGTGTGGCTGGAAGGAAGTGTTATGTGATGGAGGCAAACATGTAGAAATAGAAATAAACAGGAAGAGTTTATGAGATAAATTAATGCTGAAATTATCCAAAGAGAAATGCATCCACTAAGTGGAAAACTAATTGTGGAATTTGTATATATGCAAGAAGAGATAGAAAACTCGCTTGCATGGGGAATATTAAACTAAAAGTTCACAGGAGGAATTCAAAGGCAGGTGATGCTTCATCTGCAAATAACACATCAGTGTTTTTCTCCCTGTAGCAGAGAACTTCACTTTTCCAACAACTCCCTTCCAGCTTCACCAAGAAACTCACTGCATTCCAGCAATACATGATCAGATTATGTAAAGACCATCTGACACAATTTCACAGGCCATCCAATTATACCATTTAAGAAGTAGATGCAAAATCCAGCCTCATATCTTTGTGAGGAACAAAATACTGCAAGAGTGTTGGCAGCGTTAACAGGTGGTATAAAGCTGGCACTATGAAGGACACAAGAATGTCAAAGGAGTAGCTGGCTACTGGTTTAACTCTTAGGTGACAAAATGAAGGGATAGATATCTACAGGCTTAATAGAAGGTTGGCTGAACATCATTTGGAACAGAAGACCAAGAGGGGAACACTTGTTGTTAGACACATTCAAAAGGCATCTAACACCAGCTGTGGAGAACAAAGAAATTGTGGTCATATGGGATGAGAAATGATGTCAAAACTGCAGGTGGCTGATGTAGATGTGAACACACAAGACCCTTTAAAGGCCATCTGAAGTATTTGTATTTAGAATGGCTCTTGGCAGGCAAGCATACACCAACCTCACAAGGAAAATAAAGCAGCCTTGAGCAACACTTTGTCACTGTATTAAGACAGCATGGGAATGGACACATCCAGGACTTGTAGCCAAAGGGGAATACTGTATTCCAGATTTCTTGGATGGAACTGACGATAACGGATTTGGAGGAAGTTCAGAGCAGAGCTGTGTGGTGGTGAAGAGAGTGATACTGATGGGAATGACAGACTTGCAAGGTGTAAAAGCTGAAAGGCAGCCATAGCAGAATACAAGATGAAAACAGGCTAACCTGAGGCAGAGCACCAGTGGAAAGTTAATATCCTTATTATATACAGATTTCAGGGATGTGGTAAGCCTTTTGTGTAACTTTTTAAAGGAGAGTTATCTTAAATTTAGGAGTTTTCCTTTTTGACTAATGCAGTATTAAGTTTGTTGTGTTGTACACAACAAAGCACAAATACAGTTGGGGCAAATACTGTTGATGGCAAAGCTCACAAAGCTGATGAAAAGCATGAACAAAACACTAAAACCAAGTTAGACTTTGTAAACAAAGAGCAACAGTTTTACAGAAATATACCTACCTTGGAAATGAATTGCCACAAATATCTACCATTGCTACACAACTTTCACGACCCAAATTACAAAACTAAATCCATTCCAAGTAGGGTCTATTATTTCCGCTATAGAAACAGACACCAAGCAAATTAAGACAAGACACTGAACTAGCACTGACACTGAACTACACGACACTGGATTTATTTCAGCACCACATTTCCACAGTAAATTCTTTTGAAATCTAGTATCTCCTTTCATAAGACTTTTGAAAAAGTCAGAACTTTTAATATATCACTAAAAAATCCAAATGAGATTTATCGTACTTTCACAACCATCCTAAGAACATAAGTAGAAACTTACCCTGATTTTGCACTACCACATCAAATGGTAAACAAAAGGAAAACAAAACAATGAAGGAAAGATGTAAAACGAGGATTAAAGTCAACTCAAAGGCATACAAAACCAGACAAATAACACAGTCTGTAATTTAGCTCTGTAACTATAAATAGATTTTTGTTAGTAGAGACATTGAATACTGCCCTCAGCCTGGTTGTGTGCAGAAATCAGAAAGATAAGGAAGCAAACAGGGATTAGAAAAGACTAAGTAGAACCAGCTGTCACTGTTTCAAGCATTCAGGTAACTGGAATTCTTTTTGCTGAATACAAGAGTTTATAAGCGAACAGTCAGCATTGAGAATTTAACCCCACCCTGCTCCAATATCAAAGTGAAAAGCAATTCAGAGCTGCTTTACCACCTTTTCTTTTTAATAATATTCCTTCTTAAATAACTTTCAAGGCAGCAGCAAAGGAGATGAAACAGCTTGATTCAAGTATTTCTCTGGAATTTTTATGGTAGATTTGCTTCTCATGGAAGTTCAACGAGCCCTGCTGCTGCACTCAGCAGTAAGAGTAATGGAACGAAACATTATGACATGTATCTTCATCAGAGTCCTTTTTCCTACCCACTGTCACTGAAATATCCAAATCAGAGAGGGCTTGTGAATAAAAACGTACTCATATTTAATAGTGAGGCAAGACAATTTCAAACTCTAAGTTTTCATTTGTCTAATATAGGCACTTGCCTTCTAAGCAACCAACAACATGCAGCCATGAGGTATACTTAAGTAATACCAGTAATTTTTGAAATGCAGAAGAATGTTAACAAAAAAAGTCATGATTGCAACTGCATTTTTTGTATTTATTAAAGCAAGACAGTATAGATTGATTTATTACAGAATGACATTTATTACTGGTATTGAAAAAGATCTATATTGTTTGAAGAACAGGCCTACCCCTATTTAGGTATAACCAGACTAAAAGTATTTATTCAACCAAGATGTGGTCTGACTTGAAAGCTCTGCAGAAAAAGGAAAATACCAGATCATAATAATGTAGGATTGCCTTCAGTGTAACAGTTTGAAGAAAAACAGCTGAGCATTCTGTTATACAAACAAACCCACATTCCATTCTGCCTTTTCAAACCAACACACTGCTGGTTTGCATTAGCAGTCACCAGGCATTACTCTTACTTGTTAACAGAACTTAGGTACTTCAAGAAATCTCTCACAAAGAGAAAATAAGCACACTTGCTTTTCAACATTCACTAGTCTGTCTTCAGAAGGCAAGTAAAAAAGCAAGACATGTCTGATCTTGGTCAGCTTTCACAACACAGAGCAAAGGCAGCTGAACAGAACAGCAGCAATGGAAGTTCAAGGTAGATGGCTCAGCTCTGGGTGGAAAAATGCAAAGAATGCCTGATCCTACTTAGAGAAATTTGAGTATTTCCTGTATTACCATATAAGCAGCAAATCAAGATTTCTACTAGTAGCAATATCTGTTTTTCACCTATGCTTATAGTCTTTGCTTCATCCCTTCTAAGTCTGGGAACAACAAAGCATGCAATAGATACTCAAAAGTTGCACAATAAACTAAAGATTTTCTAGGACACACACTGAAGAAAATTCTCAAGACTAGGAAAAAAGTAACTGTGTATCTAAAAGGTGCCATGAAAAAAGGAAATATTTACAATTTATGGGAAAAAAAAAGAGGAGAACAGGTTTATATGGTATAAGTAAAGATTTCAACTGTTAAAATATATGAGAGAAAGTCAGGACAACCAGAAGCGAAGAGATTACTTAAGAGAGCAGCATTAAGCAGTGGCAACACAAAAAGAAGGACTTTCAGAGTCACCTGCTAGCAAGGAACCAACAAATGCATACAGAAGGATGTCTGTACAGAATATCTCAGGCTTTCACTCTGTCAACACTTTCACACTCTGCAGCAAGTAGCAGCCAAAGGCAACTTGGGGAAATCTTCTAAATGAATCAAACCCAAAGCAGGTACTAAATAAAACAGATGTGGGTGTGGGTTTGATTTGAGCCCAATTTTATCTCCAAGTTTGCTTCTTGCAGCATTTCAACATAAGCTTTCAGCACTGAAATTCATTTCAAACTTAGCATCACCTATGCTTCTGTTATTATTGCTCTGGAAATAATCGTACTAAAAGTCTACAGAGGGTTATTAGCCTTAGCACCATGCTAGGCAAAAATACCTGGAAACAGAACCAAACAAAAAAGAAAACAAAACATTTTTAAACAAAGCAGTATCATAATAGAGGATTACAAATATTTGCTAACTTACTTTTTCTGCATTTTCCTGTTTTTTTCTGCCTGACCTCCAAGCTTGCTGAGACCTAATGCATCCTGAGAGGAACCGTCTGCTTCTGCCATGCCCCCTACAAAATAACAAACCAAAAACCAGTCTTGTTACCATTTCAGTTTTGGCCAGTTATAACTCAAAAATCACAACTGCTTTCCTGAAGTATTTAATTCTTTGTAATATTACTGATGAGAAATGTAAAAAGCCAAACCTCCAAATCCATCTATCGCTCGTTTTTCTAGTTGAATATATACCCATCAAAATGGTGTATAAAAATAGGAAAATCAGATTGGTGCTGTCTGAAACCAGCTGGAGTCACACAGAGAATCTCATGTTTCAACCACCTGTAACATGAATTTTCAGTGTTCCCAATATCACTTATGGTTGATGTCAACATCCAGGATACTGTTTTAAGCAAAGAATTACACAAGAGAGAAAGGTAACCGTAGCATGTACTACGCCAGCTGAATTCATTTCAAGGCAGTTCCTGTGGGTATGAAGTGAAGACATGACTGTTGGTGTCAATACCAACAAAATCCTCTTTCACTTCTGAGATATAGTTGAAGTTTTTGCTTCACAAAACAAGCTGTAACAGTTCAATAAGGTTCAATAACCTGGCTACAGGAGACTAAAAGACAGCAACACCCCAGAAGATTCAGTGTCAATAGTTCCAAGGAATGCTGCACACCAAAATAAATCAGTCATAAATACGCACATACTGATACTTACATTATAACATTTAGTCTTCCACACCCTCTCCTACTGTGAAAAAAAGTAAGAAGAAATAAAAGTAAGGCAAACCAACCTTGTCCTAACATTTCCTTGCTTGTTTGTCCAGGTCGTCCCTTTTCTTTCTTGCCAAATAAGCGGCCAATAGAGGATTTGATCCCCTTCTTTTTGGGGGCTTTATGAAGGGAATCTTGGCTACTATTACTGCTACTCGGATTACTTGTTTGCCCATCTTGCGAGCCTGTTGAACTATACAAAAGAAAGGAGTCACAAAGGAGCGTATGTACAACACATCTACTAACATGAAATTGTAAGAGCCAAGTTCTAGTTTCTGTGCAAGTTAATGAAAGCTCAAACTCACTAGTGACATCCAAGTTCAGTTTTTAATGAGTCATTGAAATGTGTCTACTAAAAATACATGTCACTAAATAGAAAAAACAGAGGAAACAACTAAATCGTGCAAGAAAGGGACGTAATATTTACGTACTACAGCACAGAACTACAAGTCTTACTCTAAGAAATAAAAGTGTTTAAAATGCAATTCAGAGGGGCCCAAATTGACAACACAAGTTCCTGACAAATTGAGGCAGACAATGGAACTTTGACATACTTGAGTGGAATCCACTCCAGATACTTGGGCACTTTGAAAAGAACGTTTGTCAATCCAAATGATGCCAATTCAGTGATTTATTTCTAAGTCCACAGCTAAATTGCAACCTACAAAAGACAACTGGAACTGTACACCTTTTATTTCCTAAACACTAAGCAAACAATGCAGACCTTGAGTACCAGAATTCTTCTTCACATAAAGCCATTTTTGATCATTAACAAAACCTGTATTCTTATTGTGTCACACAGCCACTCCTTTATGTGCTCACACTCTTTACTTTCGAGAAACACTTCAACATCCAGAATAAAATCCTCTAAGGTGAACAGCTCTGGAGGGGTAAGATTTTATTCTGATGATCTGAAATACTAAGTTGCTGGTAAGCCTGACTTATTCACAGCTACTTACTTTCTAATATCCCTGATATCTTCATGGCTCACTGTATGCAAAGCTCCTTTTTGGACTCTGTCCAAACGCAAAGATCGAGGTGAAGAAGGTGGTGATGTCTCACATTTTATTGTAGTTTTATCATCTCGTACCTCTTCTCTAGAAGCTGGAGACTAATGGAAAATGAATAAAAATTTAAGGGGTTAGGCAGAAATGCCAGAACACAAATGCAATTATCAGCAGTACACAAAATATAGAGGAAAAAATCAATTTTTTCAGTGTTAAAGGATGACTCTTGCCCTCACCATTCTGCAGTTGCCTATTTGACTTTTCTGAATTTTCTGTTACCTTCAGTGACAGGCTATTAAATATCAGGTTTAGCCTGTGAAATGAGCAAGTAGCCCTCATCTTTTATTCATTCAGAGAGCTAAGAACTGAAGTGATGTCTTCAACACCATGAAACTAATATACCTGACTTCAGTTTAAGCAAACTGTAAAGCCAGAAAACCAGAGTCTTGTGAAAGAAGGCATCTCAGTTCTCACTGTTACATGTTTAGACAATCAGCAGCAAGACAACCAATTCTAGGAAGTCAGTTTCTACATACCTGTGGCTATGGCTTATCTCAAAGTTTGAGTAACAGAAGTCAGGCTTATTTGTGTCTGCACTTACATAGCATTAAATTATTTGTTTCATCAAGACTGCAAAATAGTAATTACAAGCAGAAAGCAACACAAGAGTCCAAAACCAAACACCACACACAACAAAGCCACACTTTAGGTAAAATGATTTACATTTCACATTTAATATCAAAGAGCACGGAATCCTGCTTTATTATAGAGCTACCCTGCAAATGCTTTCTTTTATGTTCCTGTTATCCATTAATGAGTTTGGGAACAGGGAAGGAAGGCACACCAGTAAATAAACTAAAGATTTTTACCTTTCTACGGTGTTTCCTTAAATCACTAGGCTGACAGAGGCATGCAAAGGAAAGAAATTTGGAAAAGCTGTATTTATTGGAAACTGTAGCACAGACTGAAACAACTCGTACAGACAAAACATATTAGGGAGGATATAAACAACAATTACAGCAATGGCACAAAGATACACTGTATGAAGTGCTCTTCAAATCACAAATTACCTAAATGTATCTCTGGAGAGGGGTAAAGGAAGTAAAAAAACAAACCATAAAGCAAGACTTACAGTTGGTTATCTATAAAAATACTGGAGGTATTTGAATGTATTGCTACCACAGGCAAATTAGCACACAAAATGTGCATTATCTTCAGCAAGAAACCAGTGAAGTACAGGAGGGGCATAAGGTGTTGCATTTAAAAGGTGAGAAGATTTCCAGTCATAGGTCAAGGACTTGCCTTGAACTATAGCACCTACATAGTAGCTATAGCAGGCTTAGTACCTTGTCTGCACTAGCCCCTTCTCAAGTATCAGTGATTTCTGTAGTTGTTTCCTACAAAGCACAAAAAACTTTAATAACTGTGAAGGACAGAGTGCCAACAACAGCTGATTTCTATATAGTAACAGTATTCTGGGTTCTTTACTAAGTTTAAAAGACTGGGGTGTTTGAGGAAGACTTTTGGTTTTACCCTCCATCCACTCCAGCAGCCACTGTATCTCACTTCCTAGGTACTTCTCACCTCTGCCAGTGCACAGAGCACTGCAGTAACCTGGAGTTCCATCAGCAATGCTGACAAAAGTTTCATTTATATCATTTGCCTAAGAGTTATCATTGCATTTAGTGACAAAGTATTTCAAAAGGCTGTAACCAAAAACAAAGTCAGTCGCCTCTGAAGTTGGAAGAAGAGGGAATATTGTGTTGTCTTCCTCCCACAAATGACAAATTTTTAAGCATTTGTTTTTATTTGGAATACATGCAGCATTATGTTAGTTATTTATTGTTTATTGACAATACACGCTGCATTATGCAGCATGAATATGCAATTATTAATATGTAACCATTAATATGTAAAGCTGTGTTCAATCTGACCATATAGTACTATGGTAATAAATTATAAGTTCACAGAATCATAGAAAGGTTTGCTTTGGAAAGGACCTTTAAAGATCATCTAGTCCCGCCTCAAGTTCTTAAACAGCGGACTCATTTTCCCCTTGCTGGATCTTTTGTCTGTTAATTCTGATAACTCAAAAATGAAAATGTTTAGCATATGGAATGAAAACAGGAACTGAGAGCTGAAGGTTTCACAATTTATCATGTTCATGCTTTTTAATCATTTTAATCATCACGGGGTTTCAGGTAACTGAACTGCCTACCACTGCTACTGAAGCTCATTTGCCTACATAATCAGAAACTAATTCAGCTTTCTGTTAAAACACTAATACCAGCAGCGTGGCTTCCTGTTTTGAAGTTTTCATGAATCACTTGCCAGGTACAAACACACCAGACAAACGCAACTGCAAACAACAAATCAAGTGCTTTTGATTCACAATTCTTACAAATCAAAAGTGAACTTACTTACAATTTACTCTTCTTTAGTTACATTAGATTTGAACACAAGACACACATTCTTCTGATCTAGCTTTCATGAAAATAGCTACTTAAATGTAAGGTAAGTACTTAAACTACTTATTACTGTGAAACATTAGAACACAAACCACTCCACATTTTGAAATGTGCTCGACCCTGGATATACAGCTGGAACTAGTATAATGATGTTTTTTAAATGCAAGAATGGCTAAATGATTCCTTTTCATGCAAAGGGGATAGACTTTTTGGTATATGTACACATTCATTTTAAAAAGCCAACAGAATAGTTAGCCAGAATACTTGTTTTTAAGTAATCCTATAAAGAGACCTAAATGAGCCACATCTGTCATTTACAGTCCACCTGGTCTTACAGTGATAGACAGCATTCCTTGTCTATTGATTGGTATGGTTTAGGCATGATACAAGTACAGTAATCCAAGACAGTATGGTGTAGTAAGTATGGTGGTGTATGTACAACAAGTACAGTTTCCAAATGCATATGCAAATCTGGAGACAAGGTAATGTGTATGGAACTAAATCAGAGAAGGACCTTTCCGTCAAGTGTGCTTGCAAATAAATACCTGCACCCAAGATGCTCCTTAGTGAAAGGTATCCCTAATATGAGAAACTGATTGCTTAACATTTATGTAAAAACAAGAATGTGGAATACTTGCACCTTGTTTTTATAGACAGGTTTATGTGCATTAAGTGGCTCCTAAAAAGAGCAGTCATATGAATGTCGAAAGAATGGATCCATCTTTCTCTCCTAGCTGAACTGCTAAGCCCAAGCTACTACTTCCTCAGCTACTAGGTCTAACAGATACTTCTTTCACCTACCAGCCTTTATAGGCTAAAAGGAGATACTACCACTCAGTAATATGAGAACAGCTGTGATACCTTCACAGTCATCAAGATTAATGCAATATATGCAAATCACTTTTTAGCTGAGTATTTAATAGAATGGTGGAATAAAGTTTAAGGCAGAGGGAGAAAGTGATTGCTGTAGCAGGAGTTGAAAATATTATTTCTTCTAAGAAGAGGAGTCAGAAGAAAGACCAGAACAACAGAATGAATACTTAGGCACGAGCTGTTGACCAAATACTACACTTGAGTTCTGAACGTTTTTCCTAATCATTATGACTGTATCTTACACTTTTTATAGAAGTTGAAAGGAAGCAGTAGAAAAACCTAGAGAAAGGAAAAATACAGCTGAGTAAGGAAGAGAGGAAGGGGAAATCAACCAAACCATTTCCTAGAGAAAAAGAACACTCTTCCAAAACATTCCATTTAACGGATACTTACCAGTGTCATGATACCTAGTCTGTCCACTTCCCGAGCTGGACTATGTGGAATCCGCCTTGGGGTGGAGCGACCACTGCCAGGCGGGGAGGAACCAGCAAGAGAACCACTTGCATAGGGAGGAGGAATGGAGCTCATGGACCGTAATCGGCCATGGGCATCCAAACTTCCACTACCCACTCTGCTCTCAATCTCCTCTGCACGTTGCTCTGTGTTTTCCTTTTCTTCTTGTATAAGCCTAAAAGAAAAAAGGTTCAGAGGAACACGATATTCAAACCAGACCCATATGATCAGAGTGGCTGACTCAGGCATTCGAAAGAAGCAGTACTTATCACACTTAACAGACACACTGAAAAATCTTCTAATCCAATTGGAAAGAAGCGGTAAACATT